TTCTCCTCCTTACTACAGCAGCTGGTTTCAGCTCAGGTGTTAGTATCAGGTTCCTGCAGGGACGGTCACTGGTTCCACCAATCATTGCGCTTAAAAACCAGAGAAGGAGGAAACAAGGATGGACTTTGACCTGAACTATGTTTGCTCACTACTAAATGTGCATTTATAATTGAGTGATTGAACTTTTATCTATACATGTGATTTTTTCGGTAAGACAATCAGTCTGAACAAAATGGAGCTTACGGTGTGTTATAGCAGGAAGAAGACTTAGTTTGTTAGTTTTAAGAAACCAAAGCAGGCTCATTCTTCTTACTAAAATTAAGTAAATTGCAACTCCAGTTAGACTAACTACATCACGTAACTGTTCAAACTGAGCAAACAGCAGCTTTCAAAGCCATACCTGCAACTAAACATTGAGCATCAATTAAAGCAATCTTTGAACCTGCAGCTCCACGTCTGACTAAAATCAAGGTTGGGCAGCCATTACTATCTTTCATTTACAAGTTAATGATCGTGTTTTCAGAACTACAATCTCTATGTGTGCTATGACCCTCAGGTACAATGTCAGAGAAAGCAGCTTTATCACTATAATTCACTTAAAGCTGACTGGGAGATAGTTAGAAATTATGTGGGGTTACCCTCAACTGGATGGAAGAAAAATTCGTGTTTGAAAAACCAAAGGGATTTCCCCCCGGGTTGGTACACACTTTGTGCTGAGGGAGGAGTAGTTTTTCTACTCTCTCTTGTCTCCATTTTGGTTTTATATGTTTTGCCTTTCATGCAGATACACAGCTCTACATATAATGTCACCAGGTTTCTTCAAACCCATCCAAGATGTTTAGAAATCAATGCGTGGATGTGCCATAGCGTTCTCCAGCTGAACAGCAACAAAACTGAAGTTATTAGCTTTTGACCTAAGTTATTCATAATCTGCCAATTTTCAAGGAGACATCATATGGTTAATTTGGTCTTAGTTGCCTTTCTAATGGTAAACTACTCAAAAACAAGAATTATTTTATGCTAAAATAATTGCAGTGCACCAAAAAACAATGCAATAATGTATTACAACTTCACTTTTATATTTTTCATGGTTTCAGAAATTTAGTGAAGGTAGATAAAGTGTTTTTGATGTGACGCAAACACCCCAAAACTGTCGAAGGTTGGTACCGACCACCGTACGGTGGTACGGTCCAGGATGGCGGGAAAAACGTCATTGACTACGTCACACGAGTGAATGGGCCAATATGGCGGCGAGTGTTAGAATGTAGCTTCGCAACGAGATGTTTTATTTAAACTACTGTTGATTCAAGAAGATTGTCTTTTAGTTCCAGGTGAGCAAACGGAAATACGAACAATTTATAAAACCACAACGACTATTTGAACCGTTTCCGTTTAGACTGACTGACAATTAGCACAGCCGCTAGCTAGCAGGTATGAGTGTATTTGTAAACAATGAGTGAACATGATGATGCAAAGCGAAACCTGCTGAGTTAGACCGAAAAGTCCCTCTAAAAACTGATTATCCTGAACCTTAAGAGCTGTTACAGCGAAGGAAGCGGGGAGACAAAGCTGTTTTCACCGATTATATGGAGTGTTTGGTAAACGTCGGTTTGCTAACTGTAATTGAGACATTTTTAAGCTAATCCGTAAATATATAAACAATGTAAGCAGATTAAGGTCCACAAGTAAAGATGTGAAATTGTTAACGAAGACACAGGTGGTCAGAAAAAGCTCACAATGTTCTCTGCACCTCTAGAGCAGATCACAGGTAGACAGCACACCTGGCAGCTCAACCTAGAAATACAAGAGATTTAAAATGATGTCATGTCTGATGTGTTCATGTAGCACAAGGTGGTCAAACTGTGGGAGAGCAAATCAACAACCAAACTTTCATTTGGTTTACCTGCTTTAGATTTGTTATTAGAACAAAGAACAAGAAACTTGATTTTAAATGGTAATAATGTATTGAAGCAATCAATAAATTAATAAATGGACATTATATAGTTACATATAGACTCCTAACAGTCTGTCTTTATGCTTGTCATGAATCTGTGATCATCACTAATATCATATCTGTTTTCAGCTTTCCTTAAGTCGCTTTCTGGAGCAGCAGGATGTCCGGAAAACTCGGTAACCCTCTGAAGGCCGGCGACCTGGTGTTCGCCAAGATGAAAGGCTTTCCTCACTGGCCGGCTCGGGTAAACAAGCAGACAACACACCCTTCGTCACACACAGCTGTTCTGACCTGGGATGCTTTAACCCGTCTGTGTTTGTAGGTCTGTAAATCAGAGAACGGCTACAGGAAGCGAGTCCCAGTCTACTTTTTCGGGACCCATCAGATGTACGTACACCCAGCAGCCAATCAGCTTCTCCCTCTGTGTGCGTCTTTAACCCGGCTGTGGTCGTTCTCTCCCCAGAGGCTCCGTCACGCCGGAGAACGTCGCTCCGTACGTCGGGAACAAGCTGAAGTACGGAAGCGGCGTTCGCATCAAGGGCTTCGCTGAGGGGATGTGGGAGATCCAGAACATGCCCGGCCTCGGCAGCAAACTCAAGGTGAGTTCAAACTCCTTTCTGCTTAAAATGTATTTATTAAGTTTATTTGATAGATGCAGACACACAATAACACAGACAAACTGAATACACAAATCTGGAACAAACTTCCAGAAAAGTGCAGAACAGCTGAAACACTGAATTCCTTTAAGTCTGGACTAAAAACCCAGCTGGTTAGATCTGCTTCTGGAAGTT